AATGTTATCAACAGTGGGTTTATAGAAGCTGAGAACCAACCCTGCTCATCTAATTTTCCTGATTATCTAGCCCAGCATTGTGTACAGCTAGGTACTTAATTTTTGTTTGTTTGAGAACGATTTGTTCTGGCCTTTTACTTACCCTGAGCCAAACATTTGAATCTTTTATTTGGTATAAACTGTGCTAGAAAATAAAGCAAAGGGGCTTAGCCCCTGGATTTTGGTGTTTTGAAGGTTTTAGGACACAGCAGTTCGATTGTGTCTTTGTTGACACTGAAGTAAACTTCGGCTGTCTGGAAATGAGCTAAAACAGTACAATCTATGTTTTAATTGTTTAATTGTTGGTGATACCAGTAAGACATTTTTCACAAGTACACAAAAGCTCTTTTGGCTGTTGAAGCTTGGGTATAGTCTGTTCTTAGTCTAATGTGGGTTAATTCTTAGCTGGGGAGGAGAGCATGCTTATAATCCTAGCATTCAGGAAGCCGAAGCAGGCTTATGAGTTTGATGCTAGCCTGTGTATTATATAGTGAAATTCCAAAAAACAAGGCTGGGCAGGGGCTGTTATTCTTTAATTTCTTGATTTTTTTCCCCCTTGTGCTCAATCAGAGAGCTGTGTGGCAGTGGCCAGGTATATTTTGTTTAGCCCATCGATTAGCTTCTTGGCATGCAAGTGTCTGGCAATAACAATAAAAGCTGACAATAACAATAAAAGCTTATAGGCGGGCACTTCTGGCTCAGCCTGTAATCCTAGCTACTCAGGAGGCTGAGATCTGAGGATCAAGGTTCAAAGTCAGCCTGGGCAGGATAGTCTGTGAGACTTTTATCTCCAATAAACCACTAGAAAACTGAAGTGGGGCTGTGGCTCAAGTGGTAGAGCACTCGCCATGAGCTGAAGAGCACAGGGACAGCACCCAAGCCAAGTTCAAGCCCCACAACTGACAAAAATAAATAAATAAATAAAGATTATATTTCAATAATATACTTTGCGGTGGGGGGAGGGGGAAGGCAGTACATGGAATCAAATTCTTCCTTAGCTGGCACTTTACCACTTGAGTCATGCCTCCAGTCCAGGTTTTTGCTGATTGTTTTGGAGATAGACTCTAGAAAATTTTGTTGCCTGAGCTGGCCTCATACTGCAGTTTTCCACATCTCATCATCATGAATAGCTAGGATTACAGACATGAGCCATCAGTATCAAGTTGAATAGTGAATACACACACACACACACACACACACATACACACATTTGTGTTTGTAGTGATCCTGGGGCTTAAACTCAGGGCCCGGGCCCTGTCTGAGCCTTTTTGCACAAGACTAGCACTCAGCCACTTGAGCCACAGCTTCACTTCTGACTTTTTTGGTGGTTAATTGAAGATAAGAGTTTCACAGACTTTCTGCCCCTGTTGGCTTTGAACTGCCATCCTCAGATCTCAGCTCCTGAGTATCTAGGATTACAGGTGTGAGCCACCAGCGCCCAGATTGAATAGTGTGTGTGTGTGTGTGTGTGTGTGTGTGTGTGTGTGTGTGTGTGTGTGTGTAGGTGTAGGTGTAGTTTGTTTTTTTGCTGGTTTTGGGACTTGAACTCTGGGACACTGTCCCTGAGCTTCTTTTGTTCAAGGCTAGCACTCTACCACTTGAACCACAGCACCACTTCTGGCCTTTCTGAGTAGTTTATTGGAGATAAGAGTCTCACAGACTTTTCTGCCTGGGTTGTCTTTGAACTGCAATTCTCAAATCTCAGCCTCCTTAGTTGCTAGGATTATAGGCAATGAGTCACTGGTGCCCTGCTTGAATAGTATATTTTAATACTAATTACACAGTGAAAAAGGTTTAAAAATAACAACAAAATTCTCCCTGTATAGCTAATGTAATCTTTAAAAAAGGAAAAAGTTTAGAGAAGCTCAAATAGCCAACTACAGATAGTTTGTTAGAAGTAGAGGAAGAACTTCAAGTTTTATTCTAAATTCTAAAACTTTGTTTTTTTTTTGTTTTTTTTTTTGTTTTTTTTTTGGGTCCGGTTGTGGGGCCTGAACTCTGGGCCTGGGCGCTGTCCCTCAGTCTTCAGCTCAAGGCTAGCACTCTACCACTTGAGCCACAATGCCACTTCCGGCTTTTTTTCTTTTTTGCTTATATGGTGCTGAGGAATCGAACCCAGGGCCTCAGGCTTGCAAGGCAAGCGCTCTACCACTGAGCCACCTTCCCAGCCCTAAAACTTTGTTTTTTAATCATTCTTAAAGCTAGAGGCATTCTAGGAGATCTACAAATAAAGAATGGGCCTTGCTCTAAAAGACCTTTTATAAATTTAACTGAAATGTCTTATAGTCACCAAATTGAAGGGTGATCTAAGGAAGTATAGCAAAGGGGCAAAATAACTCCCACATACAGGATCAAGGGGTTAAGAAGGAAGTAGCATTTGAGAGGGAAAGAAGAATCAGAATAACCAAAGCATGGATATGGGAATATGCAGAGCTTGCTGTATGTCTAGTTTGGCCACAATAAGAGCTTTAAGTAGCAAAGTAGTGGACACTAGAATAGCCAGGTTACTATCAGATCCTAAAATATACTCAATGCCAGAGAGTAAACCCATGTTCTGTGGATATTCTAAGTAGGAGATGAAAACTGGCCCTGAAAAAGATCCAATAATGATAGTAAGTCCTTACTTATTATTTAAGGCTTCAGTGCATAAGCCATTGGTGTCCGCACACGGCTGCTAATCTCTTAAGTATGCTAAGTGCCTTACAGTAACACCATGAACAGTTGAAAATGCCCATTTTACAGACATGCAACTGAGAATAGGTACTATTAAGTGAATTGCAAGCCAGGAATGGTGATTCAAGCTTATAATCCCAGTGCTCAGTAGGCTGAGGCAGCCTATGTTACATTATGTAGTGAGACCTAAAACAAAGCAAAATTTGTAGATGCCAGTAGCTGAAGCTAGGACTCAGACTCAGTCCAGTTCTAGAGCCTGTTGTTACCACTATGATAAGAGCTTTTTTTTTTTTTTTAAGTCAGATCACCTGATAATTTCTTAATTATCTATTCAGAATATGGTTTTAGAAAGTGTTCTGTTTTTGGTCAGTCATGGGGCTTGAACTCTGGGCCTGTGTGCTGTCTGTGCGCCCTTCAGCTCACGGCCAGCACTCTACCACTTGAGCTACAGTGCCACTTCCATAGACAGTGGTTTTTTTTTTAATATAATTTTATTGCTGTTATTAAGGTGTTGTTTAGAGGGTTACTATTTCATAAGCCAGAAAATGAGTGCATTTCTTCTTTTGGACAGTGTCACCCTTTCACTTTCCCTGATTTCCTTCTCCTATCCTAGCCTACAAATTATATAGGTCATTCCCTACATAATATATACTGAATAGCATGATTGCATTTGCTCAGCCTTCCTTTCTTTCTGTGCCACCCCATACAAAAAGAAAAGAAAAACAAAAAGCAAAAACACCACCACCAACAATAACAACAAAAACTATGTCTCCATTTCCTAGAATTTGTTTCAATAAATAGTATTTTAAATGTTCAGAGGCGTTACACTTTGGGTTCCTCCCCTAAGGCTATCCTCCTTTAGTCTGACTGTGCATGAATGCCTAGAGTCCTGTATAGGTTGTCATGTCCAATTATATTTTAGATCTAGTTTCCATATATGAGAGAAAACATGGGCCATTGGTCTCTCTGAGTTTGGCTTATCTCACTTAACATGATATGTTCTCTGCAAATGACACAATCCCATTCTTGCTAATGGATCAGTAAAATTCCATTGTGAATATATACCACATTTTCTTGATCTACTCATCTGTTGTAGGCATGTTTCTATAACTTGGCTATTGTGAACAGTACAGCAATACCCATGAGTGTACACGTGTCTTTAACCGTAACCTCACTTGTGATGTTCTGGGTAGATGCCCAAAAATAGTACATCTGGGTCATAGAGAGGTTCTTTTTTTTTTTTTTGAGGAACCTCTAAATGACCTTCCAGAATGGTTGTACTAGTTTGTAGTTCCACCAACAGTGCAATAGGGTTCCTGAAAAATAATGTTTTTAAGATTATCAGACTGTTTCCTACTGTGTAGTCACATTCAGGAATATAATTACTAACAAACCTAATTTGTATTGCTTTCTAGTTTGGATCTCGAACCAGATGGGAAATAGAAGAATTGGGTGGTGTTTTATTTATATGCCTGATAAATCAATACCTGATCATAGCAAAAGCTTGTGCATGTTGCCAGGGTTTGAACCTAAGGCATTGCACATGCTGAATAAGTATTCTACCACTGAGCTACATCAGCCCAGGCAAATGCTTTGTTTTCCATTTCTGGTGTCTATTTATATTGGTCCTCATATAAATCTTAAGAAAAGCTTAGTTCCAAGGGGCATTGAAAAAGATGCTAAAAGAAATGATATTTTCCACAGCTAAACTACATTTCTTTCTTTTCTTCTTTTCTTCCTCTCTCTCTCTCTTGCTTTCTCTCTCTCTCTTTTTCTTTTTTGTCTGTCATGGGGCTTGAACTCTGGGCCTGGGCACTGTCTCTCAGCTCTTCAGCTCAAGGTTAGCACTCTACCACTTGAGCCACAGTGCCACTGTGCCTTTTTTTGTTTATGTGGTGCTGAGGAATCGAACCCAGGGCCTCATGTATGCAAGGCAAGCACTCTACTACTGAGCCACCTTCCCAGCCCCCCTTTTTTTCTTGTCTTTCTATTCTTTTCTTTCTCTTTCTTTCTTTTTCTTTTTCTTTTTTTTTTGCCAGTCCTGGGGCTTGAAGTCAGGGTCCGAGCTCTGTCCCTGAGCCTCTCTGTGCTCAAGGCTAGCGCTCTACCACTTGAGCCACAGTACCACTTCTGGCTTTTTCTGAGTAGTTTATTGGAGATAAGAGTTTCACGAACTTTCCTGCCTGGGTTGACTTTGAACTATGGTCCTCAGATCTCGCCTCCTGAGTAGCTAAGATTACAGACATGAGCCACCAATGCCTGGTTTAAAATATGTTTCTTCTTGGCAGGTTTCCTACTTAGAAAAGACAATGACTACTGATGAGGGTGCCAAGAACAATGGAGAAAACCCAGCAGCCACTATTGCTGAACAGGGAGAGGACATTACCTCCAAAAAAGACAGAGGAGTGTTAAAGGTAAGGCCACAAGTGAATGACACACAGGCAAATACGCTATCTGGAAAGATTGGTCATAGACACGTTGTTGTGGGGGCAGGTGGTAATGTTATTCAGGCTTACCAAGTGCTAAGCACTATAGCTAGATTCATGTTTCACCTTGGTAGTACTGAGGTTTTCATTTTGATCCTGCCTGTACATGGTGAAATGGAAGCTGTGCTAGGTAAATTAATTTGCTCCAATCTTATAAATCTTAGTAAAAGGCAGAGCCTAGAGTTCAGGTCCAAGTTATTTATGCCTGACTCCAAAAACCCCTCTTTTTTCAGTGTACAAATGAGTTCTGATTTTAATATATCTTTCTGAGACAGGATGTAATGTAGTACAAGTTGGCTTCAAAATTATAATCTTTCTGACTCAGCCTCCTAAGTGCTGAGATTACAGGCATGTGCCACCATGCTTCTCAGTTAATGTATCATTTCAGTATAATAAAGCTAGCTATAATGACAACATTAAAGACTTTTAGAGGACGACAAAGCTAGTTTGGAAGCCTAAAAAGGATTTTTCGGCCAGGTACCCGTGGCTCGTGCCTGTATTTTTCACCTATAAGTAGAGTTACTGTATACCATGGAGACTTTGGGAGTGGAATAAAAAGTTTTATCAGAAAACATACCTTATGATTAATTTTCCTATTTATTAAAGCACTGTAGTTAATCATTTTTCATTTTTTAAATTTAATTTTTTTTTTTTTGTCGGTTGTGAGACCTGAACTTTGGGCCTGGACACTGTCCCTGAGCTCTTCAGCTCAAAGCTAGCCACAGCACCACTTTGGGCTTTTTCTGCTAATGTGGTTCTAAGGACTCAAACCCAGGCCTCATGCATGCAAGGCAAGCACTCTATACCACTGAGGCACCTTCCACGCCCCTTAAATTTTAATTTAAAAGGTGATGTACAGAGGGGTTACAGTGACATAAATAAGGTAGTGAGTATATTTCTTGTCAAACTTGTTAGTCACTGCCTCATTTTTCTCCCTCTTTCCCTCCCCCAATTTTCGTATTTTTAAATTTGTTTCTTAAACACTTTTCACTGTAAGCAAAACGCATTTGAATCTTCAATTTCCTAAGTTAGTAACTGAAGCTGAGAGGTTAAATAGCTTTCGTGCATTAAGTAGTTGCTGCTTCTACATCTGTGGGACATAGATGCTCTCTCACTTGGCTTATTCTGTGTATGGTTGGCACTGTACCACTTGAGCCATGCCTCTTTTTTTTTTTTTGTCGCCATGGGGCTTGAACTCTGGGCCTGGGTGCTGTCCCTCAGCTCTTCAGCTCAAGGTGAGCGCTCTACCACTTGAGCTACAGCACCACTTCCGGTTTTCTGGTGGTTTATTGGAGATAGGAGTCTCACCGTCTCTCCTGCCCGGGCTGGCTTTGAACTGCGATCCTCAGATCTCAGCCTCCTGAATAGCTAGGATTACAGGCATGAGCCACCAGCGCCCGGCGAGCCATGCCTCTTGTTCCAGTTTTTAGCTTATAATTATAGATAAAGAGTCACTCAGCTGAGTGCTGGAGGCTCGTGTCTGTTATCCTAGCTACTCAGGAGGCTTAAAATCTGAAGATCTGGGTTAGAAGCCAGCTGGGGCAGAAAAGTCCCAATGAGAAAGTCCCTGTGAGACTCTTATCTCCAATTAACCACTCTAAAAATGGAAGTGGCACTTGCTGAAGTGGTAGAGTGCTAGCCTTGAGCAGAAAAGATCTGTTTTAGCACCCAGGCCCTGAGCCCCACAGCTGACACTCCCCTCCCCCCCCCCCCAAAAAAAAAAAAGTCATTTAGATTTGTCTGCCTGGCTGGCTTTAAACTACTCCCCTAAAATCTTAGTCTCCAGAGTAGCTAGTATTACAGGCATGAGACTTTGTCCTCTGCACCTAATCGCCTCTTAAAAGACCTCACCGCAAAAAAAAAAAAAACAAAAAACCTCACCACATGAGAGAAAATCTGGGAGAGAACAAGGGAAGGGGTGACTTTGTCTGAAAAGAAATGTCCTCTTTACTGACTTATGTAACTGTAACCCCTCTGTACATCACCTTTATAATAATGACTTAAAAAAAAAGAAGAAGAAGATGATCTCACCTACTGGGTGCCAATGGCTCATGCCTATAATCCTAGCTACTCAGGAGGCTTGAACTCACAATTCGAAGCAAGCGTGGGCAGGAATGTCTGTGAGACTCATATCTCCAAGTAAGCATGCCAAAAAAACCAGAATTGGAGCTTAGTTCAAGTGATAGAGCATTATTACCCTTTAACAAAAAAGTAAAAAGTCCAGGGATAATACTCAAGCCCTGAGTTCAAATCCCAGGGTGCACACACGCACACGCACGCGCGCGCACACACACACACACACTTCCTTATCTCCCAATCTAAGTTTTAGTAAAGACAAACAATATTAAAACCACAGCACCCAAGGACTGAAAGTCTACAGCATTTGCTTTGTATGTTTAAGGCCCTGCATTTTATCCTCAACACTGCAAAATAAAGGAATAAACCACAGGTAATAGATGATAACATCATTGCCTTTTGCAGGTGGCCCCCTGGCTTCAAGTAGCCATTCATCCATGTGCCAAGTTGTTTGTGTACAGTCCTTGCAATGCAAATTCCTACTGTTGGCTGAGCCTAGACTTCTAGATATCACACACACTTTTAGATTAGTTTTGTGGGGTGTGTTTTTTTTGTTTTTTGTTTTTGTTTTGAAACCTTTTTCTTTTGCAGTCCCATGAGAGTAACAATGCTTCTTTTACTTGAAAGAATTTTTGGGCTTTTGAGCTAAGAAAATTGTGGAATTTAAGTTCACAGTGTTTATGTGGTGTTTATGTGGGGTGGGGTTGGGGAACACATCTACAAGAATTTAAAAGCAAATAATTGTATTCTTCAAATGAAAGCTCAAGCCCTTCTCCAAGAAAGATATGCATTAAATGTTAGCTACTATCCTCTGCTATCTACTAAAAATGATTAATTTGGCACAGATGATTGACAGAATAAATTATACCACCACATGCCTGGATTGAATTTTCTTTTCCAAGAAATGACCAACTGCATTAGCAGCTTGCTCTGCCAAGAACAAAATAAATATACTGGATTTTACGATAGCTAAATATTTTTCAGCTTGGAACTTTTCTTTGGCATTTCCTTTACTAGAAAACAAGTTTTTCAGTATCACCAAACTGCCTAGTGATACTAATGGTTTTTACAGATTGAGCATTTTTCAAATAATGTGAAGTATAACATGTTATACCAGGATATTGGCTTTATGAAATCAAACCAAACTGGCAGAATATTGATAGAAGTTACTGTTTTGTCTTTTTTTTGTTGTTGGTTGTGGGATCTGAACTCTGGGCATGGGCACTGTCCCTCAGCTCTTCAGCTCAAGGCTAGTGCTCAACCACTTGAGCCACAGCACCACTTCCTGTTTTTTCTGCTTATGTGGTGCTGAGGAATGGAACCCAGGGCCTCATGCATGCAAGGCAAGCACTTTACCACTGAGCCACCTTCCCAACCTGTGAAGGTAGCATTTTTAACAAAGGAGGGAAGTAAGTAAAAGCATGCTTTTGAAACTTCACTTGAGTTCTCTCATTGACTGTTTTAAAAGTCTCATAGTGTTCGTAGTATAGTTTGTATGAAGCCGCCTACCTCACAAGTTTGTGTTTTGAGAGATCTTTGTGTCGGTATAGACCATTAGATTTATTGGCTAATTTTTTTGAGGGAATAGTACAGTAAGCAGTAAAATTAACTGTAACCTTTAGTAAAGACAGTTTTCTAACTGGAAGGGATATTGAGAGAATGCTGAAGGAAGCCTTCAAAAAGGAGAAATCAGGGCCTGAACACTGTTCCTGAGCTTCTTTTACTCAAGGATAGCACTCTACCATATGATACTGGGGAATGGAACCCAGGGCTTCTGCTAGTCAAGCACTCTACCATTAAGCCATATTCCCAGCCCGCTGTGTTGCCTTTTTATTCTCTGAATAGAAATCAGAAATTCTACCACCTGTTTCTTTTTTTTTTTCTTTTTTTCTTTTTAGAATTCTTGCCAGTTTATTCCCACATACTTAGGATAAAAACATACTCAACATTAAGTGACTATTTTTCAGGTTAAAAAGGTTTCAAAACATATATACAACATAAATAAAGCAAACTGAAGAGAATCATTGTCGATCAGAATACGCAAATACAGTATTATTTTACAGAATACAAAAATTATGTCACCAAATACAAAGAAAAACGTTCAAGAAAAGTAAGCGAATAAGATCTTGTCAAAGATCTTATTAACTAAGATGGATCAAGAAAAACCTCATGAACATCAGAGTGAAATTTCTTTTCTATGCCTCCTAGTTGCCTGGCCTTCCTTTTCTGTACTGAGTTGTAGACTTCACAGTCACTGGTCTTTGGTAAATCATCAAGCACTTCCTCTTCACTGGCCCTCTGTTTCTGTCTCGCATGTTTCTCTGTCCACTGCCTGGCATTCTTGAGGAAAACTGACTTGTTATATTTAAATTCTGAGGAAATGTCAGCCATGAGTGGGTCATCAGGGTTGGGTTCTGACATGAGCAGTTGGATAGAGGTCAACACAGTAGCAATATTGAGGGGTGGTCTCCAGGCACCCTCTCAAGAATGATGACTTCCAGGTTGAAAATACCTTTCTCATAAGGTGTGTTGGTTCCACCTAATATTTGAGCTCTAAGATCATCCATTTGGCCCTTTTCCTGCCAGCATGTGATGGCTGGGGGAGGGTCTGTGGCTAGCATCTGAAGTTCTCTCTTCAGCCGTGAGGCTCTCTGCATGATTCCTTGCGTGAGCGAGCTCCCCGTTCCACAGCAGCTCGCGACAGTGGCTGGGGACCCGCAGCCCGGCCAGCTCGGACCCTACCACCTGTTTCTTGATATTTATCTTTTCTAGATTGTCAAGAGAGCAGGGAACAGTGAAGAGATGCCAATGATTGGTGACAAAGTTTATGTCCATTACAAAGGAAAATTGTCCAATGGAAAGAAGTTTGATTCCAGTCATGATAGAAATGAACCATTTGTTTTTAGTCTTGGCAAAGGTAAGAGGATATTTTGGGGGGATATATTTTGCTTAGATTTATTACTATCTGTATTTTATAGGAACAGTAGAACCTAATCTGTCCTTAGTCAAAAGCAGTATTTTCAGAGAGTTAGCAGCATGGGAGTCTCTGAGATTCTTTTCAGGGGTTCAGTTATTTTCATAACAAACTAAGCTATTACTTGCCTCTTTTAAAGGGTTCAGTGCTATTGGGGTTTGAACTCAGGGCCTAGCCTTCACTAGACAGGTGCTCTACCACTTGAGCTACACATCCCTTTCTGCTTTATTTTTCAAATGGGGTCTTGTGTTTGTGCCCCAGTCAACCTGGATTACAATTCAGTCTTGAGTTTCATATGGGTTTGATACTCTGTGCCAGCCAGGGAAGCATACCAGTAGCAGCTCTGTGCGTGTGGCACCATGGTATGCCAAGAAGAGTGTTTGGGCACTTGTGTTGGCTGAGAACCAAACAAGCTGAAGTACTATTTTTCCATGAAATACTATTTTTACTTGAAAGGGAAAACTGTGATTATTCAAACTTGGTTATTAAGAATTTGGCAGGTATTTTCTGGAAAATGAATGAAGTCTGCCTGTCTCTTCCAAGAAAACAACTTACATTTTGCTACTGAGTTTTTAAATAAAAATTACAGTGTTGAAAATTTGGTGTATGCCACAATGAGCTTGACAGCTTCCTGAAACTTGAGACATTTCTGATGAAATCAGCAGGTATTAATGAATGTGACTTTTTAGTATTATACAATGAAATGTGTCACAGTTTGAAAAGTCTGAATTACTCAGTGAGCCAGTATTTTCTCAGTGAATATTACGAGATGTCCATGGTTATATGTGAATAAATAGTCCATTTTAAGTCCAACATAATATAAAAAGTTTAGTGATAAACTTTTACACTTCTTATTGTAACTAACCTTAGTGAAACTTGAGCTTTTGATGTAGTATTGATTATATTAACAGTTAATTTGAAAAGGCCATTAAAACTGCTCTTTAAACCTTTTCCAACTATCTCTTTGTAGGTTGTATTTTTTTCCCCTATATTTCACTTAAAGTTATAAAAGATGAATGTAGAAGTAGAAATGGAATCCAGCCAAGCATTATAGTTCATGACCGTAATCCAACATCCCAGCACTCAGGAGGTTGAGGGGGATAAAACAGTATAAGGAGACAGAATCTATTTGTCCTATATTAAGTCAATTTTACATTTGTAAAATTAGAAAATGAAAGCCATTGAGGGTGGGGCTAGTAGATTTGAACTTTATTTCATGCTTGTTATACAGGCATGTACCTACCACTAACCACTAAAGCCACATCTCTAGCTAGAAAATTAGAAAAGGATGCCTTTCTTCTAATTTTTGTTTTAGAACAAATACTTTATGTTAACATGAGGCTGTTATTACTTGAAATAAATTACTACACAACTTTAATGTTTACTACAGTAAATATTAACAGGTACATCATAAACAGTTTTGTTTTGTTTTTTTGTCAGTTGTGGGGCTTGAACTCTGGGCCTGAGCACTGTCCCTGAGCTATTCAGCTCAAGGTGAGCACTCTACCACTTGAGCCACAGTACTACTTCTGGTTTTATGGTGGTTATTTGGAGATAGGAGTCTCACAGACTTTCCTGCCCGGGCTGGCTTTGAACCTCGATCTTCAGATCTCAGCCTCCTGAGTATCTAGGATTACAGGCGTGAGCCACCTCCACCCAGCCATAAACAGTTTTTTTATAGCTTTCAGTTGGGAGGTGGATGAAGCCCAAGGCCTTTGCATACTTAAAGATGTGCTTACCACTGAGCTATGGTCTAGCCACAGGAGTAGTCATCAGTTGTCAAGATGTAAAGGAGTTTGGCAGGAAAAAAAAAGTGGAGACATATTTTTTCAAGAATTAAATGTGGGGGTGCTGGGAAGGTGGCTCAGTGGTAGAGTGCTTGCCTTGCATGCCTGAGGCCCTGGGTTTGATTCCCCAGCACCACATAAGCAAAAAGAAAAAAAGCCGGAAGTGGCGCTGTGGCTCAAGTGGTAGAACACTAGCCTTGAGCTGAAGAGCTGAGAGACAGTGCCCAGGCCCAGAGTTCAGGCCCCACGACTGGACCCCCCCCTCCAAAAAAAAAAAAAAAGAATTAAATGTGATTTAGCTGTGTATAGTGGTACATAGCTGTAATCCCAGCTACTGGAGAGGCAGAGGCAAGAAGACTGAAAGTTTGAGGCCAGCCTGGGCAAAAGTAGGGAGTCTTAAAGTAAAGCTAGGTGCCTGTGGCTCACACCTGTAATCCTAGCTACTCAAGAGGCTGAGATCTGAGCATGCGGTTTAAAACAGCCTGGGCAGAAAAGCCTCTGTGAAACTCTTATCTCCAATTAACCACTCAAAAACTGGAAGTGGCTCTGTGGCTCAAGTGGTAGAGTGCTAGCCTTGAGCATAAAGAAGCTCAAGGACAGTACCTAGACCCTGAGTTTAAGCCCCACAACTGAAAAAATAAAATACAAGTAAAAATAAAAGCCTAGGGACATACACCACCAAAAACATTTTTAGTATGATTTTTAGTAATATCTCTTCGAATGTTTTTAAATGTCTTCAATTAATTTAGTATTCTTGCTTTCTTTAATCTTATAAGAATATTAGTCATCCCTCCCCCATGGTATAACCCCTGTTTTCACTGTATTTGATGTTGGTATAATTTGGGGAGGGGAAGGAAAAAAACCAAATTGTTTAAATAGGGATACAGGTGGACCCATTGCAACAATGAGATGTACAAGATGTTATGTTGAAAAACGAACTTTGCAATTTTGGCGTGGGGGAGGGGGTGGGAGGGGGGATGGTAAGGGGAAACAAAGGAGGAGGCAACAATGCTTGATAAGAAATGTACTCATTACCTTGCTCATGTAATTGTAAGCCCTCTGTATGGGATTTTCACAATTAAAAAAAAACCTTAAAAAAAAAGAATATTAGTCATACCAAACTGAATTTTGTGGTTCATGTGACTTGTTAGAAGCTAGTGGCAGATCTGTCTTTTTATTCTTATCTGCCACAGGCAGTTGTGACTTATTCCTAGAGTAAGTGTGGAGAGTGAAAAGTGGTCATCCTGCCCTCCATCTCCCATGACAGGGAAGACTGTAATTCCTTTCTCTCTCTGACTCTAGAGCTAGTTAAACCACTAACTAAGCATGGACCTAGGACAGAAAACAGCATGTGGTGAACTTCCTGCCTTTCCTGGTGCCCAGAGTCACTTGTGTGTCATAGTGATGTCTACTTCCTGTCCACACTTCAGTGCTGGCTCTGTCAACTGCCCCCAACTCTTTTGGGTCCTTAATGAGTTTAATGGCTCATGTCACGTTAACGTGTGTTTGGATAAAGCACCAGTCAAAATCAGTTTCCCTTTTGATGTAAAGATCAATGTGACAGTTATTTTAGACATTTTTTTTATTTTTGATGATTGAGGGATGTGAACCTCCTGGGCTACCAGAATGGTTATAACACCATTATTTAAATTAGATGACTTCAGAGTGACTGTCTCATTAGACCTCAGGAGGTAGTCCACTAAGTCCTCACTCAACCTTTAGAACCTCTGTCTTTAAAAAAAAATTGAAGATTTAAAACAGCAGGTCATAAGCTAGACAGATACTGGTGGCTCACCCCTGTAATCTTAGATACCCAGGAGGCTGAGATTTGAGGATTGCAGCTCGAAGCCAGCCTGAGTAAGAAAGCCTATGGGACTCTTACCTCCACTTAATCACCAAAAAGCTGGAAGTAGAGGTTGCTCAAGTGGTAGAGGGCTAGGCTTGATCAAAAAAGCCTTAAGGATAGCACCCAGGCCCTGATTTCAAGCCCCAGAACTAGCTCAATAAATAAATAAAATAAGATATCAGGTCATCTTTCATCTGTAATACTATAATCGCAGCACTCAGCAGATGGAAGCAGGAGGATCCTGAGTTCACTAGGAAGCCAGGGTAACTGTCTTTACTGATCCTTGCAGGATGTAAACCATTTCTGCTCCTGTAAAAAAAAAAAAAATGTGTATAGAGTTTTAAGGTTAGTCAGAGTCTCTGATTCCATCATTCTCTACCTTCTATAATGAATACAGATGCAAAACCATGAAAGAATTAACACCAATATAATAACAGAGGCCTTTAATGGTCTTATGGTGGCCTATCTATCTTTATTAGAAACACTAAGAAAGATCAACATACCTCTAGTAACATGTTCATTGCCTATAAAACAAGACACACAAACCAGACCTGGTGGTACACACTTGTAATCCCAGCATTTGGGAAGCTGTGTCAGGAGGCCAACCTAGGCTATGTAGTATGATTCTTTCAAAAAACTTGGACTAGGCAATTTAGAGCTTAATATTTTATATCAGTCGCTATTTCATCAAAATGAAAAATCATATAAAAGGCTGGGTGCTGGTGGTTGGCGTCTGTAATCCTAGTTACTCATAAGGCTGAGATCTGAGGATCATGGTTCAAAGCCAGCCCGGGGAATGAAGTCAATGAAACTTTTATCTCTAATTAACCACCAGAAAACTGGAAGTGGTGCTGTGGCTCAAGTGGTAGAGCACTTGCCTTGAGCTGAAGAGCTAAGGGACAGTGCCCAGGCCCAGAGTTCAAGCCCCACAAGTAACTACAACAACCGCTATATATATATGGACAATCTAAAAAAATACTGTCTCTTGGACTCTTTTAATTCCTTGCTTTATACGTATGAAGAGATTAAGGTGTAGTGACGTTAAGGGATTTGTCCATAGATAAACAGAAAGTTGTCGAACCACACTCAAACACAGGAAGTTACATCAAAACTTAAGGTTTAAATCTAACTCAAGAACAAAAGTTGAAGCCAGGCATTGGTGGCTCACACCTGTAATCCTAGCTACTCAGGAGACTGAGATCTGAAGATCACTGTTCAAAGCCAGCCTGGGCAGTAAAGTCCATAAGACTCTTTATCTCCAATAAACCACTGGAAACTGGAAGTGGCGCTGTGGCTCAAGTGGTAGAGCG